CAGAACTTCGTTCTGTAAAGTCACTCTAACTGATACGTTCCAGTCCATTTTTTCCTCTGCATATATACACACTTTTGGGCATTAAAACTCTCTGCATATTCGTTCGTAACATGCTGTTTTCTCCTCTCCATTTACTAGCTGGGTATTTCCCAAAACAGCGAATTATCGCATTTTTTTATTTCAGATTTGTTTGGCTTGGCCTGCTGAAGGCTTGGGGCCTACACCCACAATGGACAATCCGGCAATGGTTGTTGTTCGTCCGCATTCCGGACCAGGTTGAGGATCACACATGCTGAATTTTTTAAAAATCCTTCCGAACCCATAATGATTTATGGTGAAATAACTTTATCTGTGTGTTGCTCTTATATTGACATTTCTCGATCACAAACACCATACATCATTATTTATCTGTTAATTTGGATGCCCGGCACATTTGAATTTGGCGTGGTTTGAGAACGGGAGCGACTGTTTGCCTCTCTCTGGACATCTTATTTGGCTTGCTTGTTTGAGTGCTTTTGGCCGCATATTTGAGGTTTGCTTTATTGTACATTTTGTAATGACTTCGTTAATTCAGTACCGTATAACATTGCGGATCAATTTTGTTTTTAATTTGGGATTCATATCGGTTCGGCTACGAATTGGTTGGCATACAGTACTCAAATCGGAATCACACGAGAAAACTACTTCGAAGATGCCAAGACGAGGAACCAAGGAAACTGGAACCCAACAGGAAGTAACCCGGCAATTCACTGGGCGGCTGTGGGTCATTTTGATTCTTTAGAAAATGTTAGATCTGTTAGTCCTGACAGTGCTGTTTTATGTGTAGATTCAGATAATAAGGATATTAATATATTTAGATTGCGGGTATCTGAATTAGAGCATGAGTTGAAATTAGCTACACAGAAGATTGAACAGATAAAACGTGAAAAAACGATTTCAGCGGAACATCACCTCGAGCTGAGACTGCACACCATGGCTTCTCTCCGAATATAAGATTCGTCTCTCAGCAAAGAAACTGTGACCATGTAAACGTCGATTTTCAAAGAGTTGAACTGACACCTTTTTATGGTAATCCCGAACAATATTGCCAATTCATTCGCAAATACGAAAATTTCGTTGAATGCAAAACCGACGATGCAGGTCAAAGGTTTCTGTTTTTGTTACACTACTGTCGGAGGAAGACTGAGGAGGCCATACAAGGGTTTGCAATACTGGACCCTGAAGTTGGCTCCCCGGAGCTAGAAATATACTGAAGGAGATGTTCGGCCAACCATTCCGAGTGGCTCGAAACATGATTGACGGGGTGCTAGCAGAGGCAAGGCGCACAAGAGGCAATACCAGTTCTCTAGCAAACCTGGTCATCAAGACGCAGAACTGCAGCATCGCTCTAAACCACCTCGAATATCGGTCGGACCTAGATGCACTTCACACGCTGGAATCGATTGTCAGATGTTTGCCGGCCGAAATGCAGAC